AACAAAAAATTGGTTTGAGCATACAGTGCACTATTCATATAAATAGTAACAACCCTTGTCTCACCTTACCTTTTACCATGACAAATGAGTGGAAATGCAATTATAAATCCTTGGCATCCCGAGCTCTCTTTTTACAACTCTAAACTGCTAAAAACAAAGCCAGTCACCAAGATTATTGGTGAAATACCAAAGATTGGTAATTCAGTAAAACCTCATCAACAAGTTTTACCTCATGCAACAGAGAATCCGTGACTTCTCGGGTAAGAAAAGCACAACCCCTGAGTTTCGTGACGTGGCACAAGCACCGAGTATGAGTCGGCAGCTTAACTGTCAATCTGTCCTGCTCCACTACCTTATATACATAATAATAGAGAAATAAATAAATAATAACGGAATCCACCGTCTCCGTCTCTTCGTACGGCTCTTTCCCACACATCGTCGACGTTACGACGACGTTTCCACAACCAAAGAGAGAAAAAAAAACAGAAGTGGTAACGCAGTTATAACGACGTTCGCTATCCCCAACGGATAAAGAATAAAGGGACCCGGAGCCGGACCCAAACCCAAACTCTCAACCGAATTTGATAAATTTCCCGCCATCTGTTTCGTGAGTGGACAAAACCCCGAAAAAAAATACGTATATTTCTATATCTGGAAATAATTCAAAAGGAGATTTCTCGTGGTGCGGAGTGGGGACAAAGACGAGGCTTTATTACCAGCCAAAATGGACAGCACACAGCACCCCGTTAGTCAAAATAGCGGGAACACTTTTTTGAAAATTAAACTCCACCTTTTAATTTTCATACAAAATAGAAATTTGATTTCTTTTGGGTCTGCAATAAATTTTGATTTGATTCGACAGGAAGGACGTTTCATGCAAAACCAAACCAACCCCAAACCAAAAACAGGGGAGATATTTTCTTACAAAAACTGAAGTATCTTTTGGCAGAGTGCTCGTGCCTCATGGTCGGAACTGGGTATTATTGTCTTTTTGTATGAGGTCTACGTCAGTGAGCTGCCGTAGTCGTAGAGTGAGAGTGAGAACCGAGGTAGTCTACTCATTTCGAACATACGGATATGATCAGGCCCCACCCTCGCCAAGTCACCGTCTAAAATTACGAAAAGAACCCTCCTGTACAGTGTACGTTAAATACATTATCAAATTAAAAATTATATGTTTAATGACCTGATTAAGCGATTAGATTAGGCCGTAAGAAATTGCCAGCTCAGCCGGGTGTTCCCGCCAAACCTTTCGAATTTCCCGCCTGGAGATTCAACTGATGCGTCACTGTCAAACGTCGAGGAGTGGAGTAGAATGATATTGTCAATAATTTTATTTATCGTCGTTCGAAATTTGAACTCAACGGCCCGTTTCTCAAATTCCATTTTCCCACTACCATCCAAAACCCTCCCTCTTTCTGTTTGGTGGACAGGTTCTTCCGTTGGCTCGTATCTCGTATCTTGCCTTTTCTCTTCCTTTTCTGATTAGTTTTTATTTTATTTTAAATTTGAACAGAAATGAAAATCACTGTCTGTGTGCAGTGTTTGAAAGCTTTCATGTAAAAGGGTGACCCATGTTGTTGAGTGACAGCCTATTTTAGTATGTTGGTTCAAATTAGGTCAACTTGAGTTTGGCGAGTTGGCAACCAACTACACAATTATTTGACCTTTTGCCTGCATGGTTAAAACGCCAGTCAACTTCACATTCCATTCTTTGTTGTCTTGTCACTATAATTTGTCAAACCAAATTCTTTGTTCGCATAATTATAGACATGATTGACTCCATAATTTCGAATCACAATTCGGTTTGTTTGCCCTAATTATTATGTCACACTAATGGTGATTGCATCCATATATTAGAGAAGCGTGTACAAAAATAACATACAGTATGATATCTGATTATATTTTTAGTGACGTACCAAAACGAGTAATTCAGAAGTTGAAAAGAGAATGAAGAGAGAAAGCGCGCTATTAACTTCTCAACAACAATGGCATATAATGATGCTCATGAGCTTCGACTGAAGTAACATTAAGATTGAGACAAAGACTTTGAATTATAGGTTCAAATTTGGAAAAGAAAAGTCATATAAAAGAATATGCTGGGTAGGTCTTATGATGGGGATTTAGAGGGAGAAGGTGAATGCGGGTGGTGCATATAATTAAGGGCAGCTACCTCACAAACAATTGGAGTAAATGGTAAGCCTTCTTTCTTTAAAGTTTCAATTATGAGAGGTCTCTCATTTCATTCCCTCACCCACGTGTCCTCTCTACCTCTGCGCTGGCAATTTCGATAGTAGCTGTGCGGGCCCCTCGTATGTAGAAAATATACCAGTAAACTAAACCCCAAGTAATTTGTTTTCTTTGGTATTTAAACGCCTAGGTTTCCTTTTTGGTGAAAGAGACCCACGCCGGAGGAGAAAAAATAGAGCCCTACAGGGAGATTTGTTTACTCTCTCTCCTCCATCCCTGTTGTGTTCTGTCTTCCGTCTTCTGTTCATGTGTCAAATGGTGGTGTATGTACGGCAATGCATCATGGAGTGTGATGGCGACAAGTGGCACCTATAATGCTGTCCTTTTTAAGATTTTGTTGCCTAATTTTCAAAATTCGAATAATTCGATCGACTAGGACCCGCACCACCACCCACTCTCTCTCATGTCACATGCATACTATGCTATTTTGATTATATTCAAAGATTCAAAGATATGTGTTAGGAATTTGAAATTATGACGGACAAGGGAGGAAGCTACCATTTCACTCAATCAAAGCAAAAGGAAAGCACCAGCACCAGCATCACCATTCACATGCCCTGGTCAATGGTCAAACTATCGGGAAGCGTGATGGACTCGGTCCAAATGGTGCACCATACCATACGGGTCCGGATCTCTCTTTTACACATATGAACTATGTTAAGTAAGAGCATTCATAACGGACTCCTTAAATTATATCTTTAGATAAATTTTAAAGAGGAATTGGAAAAACACATATGAACTGTGTTTTCTTAAAAGGTTTATAGTTTTATACGTTGTCAAAGTTCGACTCTCGTTTTCTCTCTCGTCCATCTTTTACCTTTAGATAAAAAAATAATAGAAAAACAATTGCATGTAAGTAACTAGCTAGAGGGTGAAGCTAGCACATGCAAAAGTTGTTACAGCATGATCCACCCTCAAATGGAGTGGGCTGCTAGCCAAAATAAAAATATGAAATGACTCATCAGATCACATGCTCATACCCGTTACTTTAAAAGATAATAATAATAAGCATTGCGTTATTGCGGGATGAATGATCAAACCTTCCAAACAAAGATTCTTATACCCTTTTGGGTCATAAAAATTGCATATAAGACTCCATTGGAAAAACTGATTCGTTTAATTTGGCTTTGTGATGGGAATTTGCTGAAATTGAAATTTGGATAGTCAAAAGAATATGAAAGTAATTTATCACAAGGCAAGTTTCTTTGATCTGAGGACTAATGTGAGACACAGAAATGCACATGCTTTCTTTGTTCCTTTTTTTCATTAAGCAAGCACATTCCCTTTGGACTAAATAATCCAATTGGTGAAATTTGGAAACAAAGTCTCTCCCTAGAGAGATAGAGACCATCTCAGTCTCAGTGGGCAATTAGGCACAGCTGTGTACACCTTCATCTGCTTACAACTTGCCCTGTCTAAGATTATGTCTCTGGATCTTTTTCTTCCTTTTTCTGTTTTGGTTTTGTTGTTTTGTTTCGTGATTGTCATCTTCTTCAGACTCAAACAAAGAATTCAGGACAAAATATTTGGTGGAGAAATTGACTATGGAAGTAAATTATAAACCCATCAGCGTATTTAATTTGTATCAGAGTCGCATAACTTAAGTGGTTAAAAGTATTTATACTAATACTTATAATCGCAGTCAAAATAAAATCAATCCCCCGTTGATTGTCTGAGCTTAGAACCTATACTTGGGAAAAGAAGAATATTAACATAGATTATATTGTACTATATAGTTTGACCCACATAGTTGGCTTGGAACTAGATAACAGTATGGGTTGCCATTCTTTTTCAAAGGAAGGAAAAAGAAGCACAGCTACTAGCTAGACATAGACATAGAATAGAATAGAATTGAAACCATATTGCCATATAAACTGACACTGTGACACCAAATACCAAGTTATGGGGTGCGTGTATGGAGTATGGAGAGACATGTTTCATTGTTCTCCGGGAAAAGCCTAATCTGTCGGAATCTTTGTTTTCTCAGATTCTTGGAACTATATATATATATATATATGTATATATTTGCCAGTGCACTTTTGCATCACCTCCCTTTGACCTAAACTCAATCTTCCATGTCTGTCTCTGCACCATATTCCATTTCCACCCTAGATTAATCGAAGGCACATTATTTATAGGGTAGTGTTTGTTTACCCTCAATTATTAATTCAAACCATTTTTAAAAGTTGAGTCTATTAGGACAAGACATGGGTAAGTGGTGTCTCAAATGTTGCAAATTAAGTACCCTAAATCGAGGATTAAACTATAAAACACAGCTTGGATAATTGGTCTCTCTAAGTGCACACGTGCGCGTGTGTGTGTGTCTTCCAAGGTCGGCAGGCACTTTCACATATTATCTATCCAGAACATGCATGATGCATTTAGGCCCACACCACAGGAGCATATATACATACATGGTCACACGAAGTCCCCATGAAACTAGTTTATGGCTCAAGCATGCTTGAACTTGAATAATAATTGTAGGGCTACATTTACAATTCTGACGAGGAGCGCATGAACTCAGAAGAACTAGGATGAAGTTGACACGAAAACGATGGATACAGAGTTGCATGCATGTATTAAAGCCAAGTGCTGCCCCCCTCAAAGCTCGAGAAAAACTTACCCAATGAAACATGCTTGAGAATTAGCGGTTGACTTACAACACAAGTAGAGTCTGAAAATTTCAAGTGCATCCAGTCCATTATGGTCGTTTTTCTTTTATAAAATTATAACTTGAAATCAAAAAATGATGACAGAAAACCAGGAAGGGTCCTGTGAATTTCATTTATTGAGCCTTGAGAATCTGTTTGGAGATGGCTCGAAATAGAAAATACATACATGTATGTTACATGATATACAATTAATCGGGGCGTATACGTGGTGTGCACGTTATCTTTAAGTGCACAACCAAATCCTCTGCTCAATAATACTGACAGAGTTTCAATGAATAACAGACAACAATTTCCCCCCTTTCTATAGTACATGCTATACGTGAATCAACTTGTAATATATAGGGGATCTAATAATAGATATCAACGGCAATCGATATTGTCACGAGCAGAACGTTGAATTGAGGGGCTATTTTGCTTCCCACTCCTCTTCAAAGATATCTGCACGGAAATCCCATACGAAATTAGTGATTGAGAGTATCTTGCCATTATTGGGGTGCATGCATAAGTGCTTTCATTAGAAGTTTCTTTATATGAATCTTGTGATCTACAAAACTTCCTGAGTTGACTTTTCAGGATATCAGCAGATATTGGCTCTGTAAACGGGTGGAAAGAGTCTTCACCATAAAAGGTTTCACCAGTGCATTATGGAAAGAATTATGGATTCATTACTAAAATGGATGTAATGGGTTTCCTACAAATGTTAGGTGCCCATCTCCATGTTCGAGCCAACAACCTAGCGATTTAATAATCTCAATGTACTTAAATGACAAGGGAGAGACACAACAAGGTCAAGGCTGATTTCGGATTACCAAGAGAAGATCCTCATCAGTGCCAAACGATTTCCGGGCTTCTTCTAAGCATGTTGATGACACCCGCTCATGTTTCCTGCACAGTTTATTCAAAGGGACACTTGTATAAGCTAAAAGAACTTTGGACCACAATAAAACATGAGAGTAATTGACAGCCCAAATAGTTCAGTTCAAAAGTTCACCCAGCCTAAAAGAATGCACATGTAAGCACAGACGTGTGCGAGTAGATTTTTTTTATCAACGACTACTCCCATGAAAAACCAAACTAATTGACTTCTTCAGCACTATCAATTATATTCAAGCATAATGCAGCCTTTCTGAGTAACATTTGCAGGCTTATGTACATAGATCTTCGTAACTATTCTTATGATGAACTTAGTGTAAACTTATTACATGAATTAACATAATTTTTGTAGCTGGACATTAAAAATCACAAATGCTGGATCGTTAAAGAAGCCTCTCTAAGAGTTTGACAAACATAAGGAAGTTTCTACTTTTGACTCCTCTCTTACTGGAAGATATTTGTTAGCATGGCATGTTCTTAACGGCATAATATCCCACAAATTTCAATAAGTTTTTGGAGTCAGATAATCACCAAATTGATAGGTCTATCATCATGATTTATACTCCATCAGAAATTTCAACATGAATGAGGATGGCCCAAACGCATGAATAGAAGATAACATTACAGCTTTTCTTCTTCTTACCCACACCCTGGCCCCCCAAAAAGACAAAAGAGTTGCAATGAAGATACCTTGAACAGGCCGGATCTCTAATCTCAAACTCATCTGTAGCAGAGTCATACCCACATATGATGACATAGTGACCTAACAAAAACAATAAACTATCCAGCAATTAATTCATCTAAACATGCAAACTTCTTTAAAAAGTGGTTGGAAGCAAGAATGATTAATCATGGGATGCATAAAGAGGATCTTTCATCCCAGCAAAGAGCACTTCTTTAAGTTTAATTATGATTCTATAAAAGTATTTATGTCCACTTTTTCTTTCTTTTGCCCAAGTTATACATGTACAGCAGATCTATCCATCTCCCCCAATAAAGTTGAAAATAAAAAGAAATCACAACCCTGAAGCACCTTCTTTATATTGTCACAAACAAAAGGCACAATCATGTCAGTCTCAACATTGTGCAGAGAAAGAAGTTTTATTCAGATTCTAACAGAACCAGTGTAATCAAACGTGACAGTCCTACCTGTGTAACCAGAGTTGCTTCCATAAAAGTCTGAGACAAATACATCGTCTGAACAAGACCGACTGTGACACAATTTTGACAGAAATATTTAACATTAGCCCAGAACTTCGATTTTTAACATGTATCTCATACATTCCAATCAAGGAGAAAAAAAAGAAAGAAGAGAGTACAAGAACTTTGAACCTCAATTTATACTGATCAACCAATACAATGGCAATGTATTTCCCACACAAAATCAAGAAACAAATTTCCTCTCGACTGATTGACCTGCACTGTGAAGAAAAAAAGGTTTATTGGAACATGAAAATTACGAATAAAAAGGATGTCCAACTCTTGATTTGGGAAGAGATCAACAAGAGCTGAAATTATGGTCTATATGTTAGCTTTTTGCGGCTAACAATTATACCTGTATACTAACTCCAGCTTCCCGTGCTTTTTGAAATAGTGTATCCACTCGCGCCAGATCATTAGGTAATTGCTCCTGCAGAATAAATGAACCGAAACTTTGTGTATCAATGTGTGAACAAGTATATGAAAGAAGAAAAGTGAAACAACATGACAAGTTCATGTGAAACAACAACCTTTATATCCAAAACATTTTCTTTGGATAAATAAAATGAAATGTCCAAATTCTCATTTATTTTACATACCAAACACAATAAGTAGCATTTGCAAATCACCCATAAATAGGTGGCACCCATTGCTAAAGATTAAAATTTCAGCTAATACCAGGAAATCGTGACAGCTAAAGATCTGGCTTTTGCAGTTTGGGTCCTCAAGTCATATGATATATGCATATATAATTAATAGACAATTAAGCTAAGAAGTGCATTCTGGAACTTGAAAACAGCCAATATGATCTAGTTCACACACACCAGCAAGAAATACTGTCATTTAAATACTTCGTTATTTTAAATGCAGAAAAGAAAATCACCTTGTAAAATGTCTCGCCAGAATAATTTGGGTTTGCTCCAAATGTCACCGTGTAGTAGGAAAAACTGATAGAGAACTTCTGTAATAAATATGCTAGATCAACGGTCCAAATGCTGCAAACAATATGTTAGCATGCAGATATATCATATAAGCTTATATTGAATATGTGACTGATGTATCAAGTAGGAATCTACCTGCAACTTTTAGCAACAAGAAGGTATCAAGCATTCTTATGATACTCCATACCTATTCCAACTTCACAACAAATATTTATTTGTATGAACAATACAAGGGGGGAACATACAGTCATCTGTTGTTTGAAAATTGAATAAAAGAGGACAAGTATTGCTTGTTACCTCATTTCTGCAAGACAATGCATAAGCTATAGCCTACAGCATGCCCATATGCAAATAAGATCTTTTAGGAAAGAATAAATTAATCTAGTAATACACATAAGAATCTAGCATTTTAAACACTAGGTCGAGACTCAAGGAAGGGCTTTCATTCGTCTACACTTTATATCTTTGCCAATCTCAAAAGTCAGAATCCTATAATCATCGATCAAATTCTTACGAGCAATACTCAAAGGAACGTATATAACAGACTATCAGAGAAGGAATTGAAGTTCTGACTCTATAAAGAAGGGAGCACCTAGTAGTGCAACATAGTTCTGCCAATGTCTGAATATCGCAGCTGTCTATGCCAACAGTCCGAAAAACCATCACAAGGCAGGCGAGGCCGCAATCCCAAGAATCTAGCTGATTAATGTGTGGGACCTATAAGCACCAAGACACGTAAACAAATTAAAACTAACACCACACTTTAATGAGTATTTGAATTCGAAACCATTGGTATCAGAGTCCAGAATGAACAAGTTATAAATAAGAAAGGTAGGGACAGAATGGCAATGCACTCACTTCAACAAAGTGTGAACATGGCAAGGCAGCAACATGGCATTTACCATTACTCGATGACTGCCCACATGGGTATGATTCAACTAAACTTGAATGTTCTCCATCTGATTCTTCTTCATCTTCCGCCTTAATAATATTATTGAACAGTAAACATGAAGGCCACATGAATGACCAATTCAGCTATGGTTTCTCACCACCACACTAATGCTCAGACATTTAAATACTCAAAGCGGTATTTCACTCGGTAGCCCTGTAATGCAGTTCCCCCAAATTATTTAAAGGGTATATATCTCTGCAACCTGTTCCAGTTTGAACATACAAAAACATCAGGTTTCTGGACTAAACAACAAAAAGAAAAGAGAGATCAATTTCTCCAACTGTGAAAAACATGTCGTAATCAAACAATGTGCATTTACTATTTCCAGGGAACGACTATGATTTGAGAGCTTCAGTAAGACTATTTAGTTCTAATACAATTGCGAATCTGAGACAGAATCAAGCTGAGTTTGGACATCCATGAACCAATATTGGGTCGTCAGCATACATAAATTTTTGGCTCTGAAACCTTTTTTTTACAATAAACTATTCAATTAAAACCCAAAGGTGAAGCTGATACACATCATTCAAAGGGGGAACTCAGGGTTTCTGATATTAAAATGAAGCTAAAGGAGGTTCACAAGAACGTATCTTTACACACTCAGACGAGTTAGATAAGAAATCATCAAATATAAGTTATAAAACTGAAAACCTACACGAAATCGATTGAATTTCCACAATCAAAACGGTCGAAAAATTGAGCAAAGAGCTCAACTTTTACATCTAAATCAACCAATTGAATAAGATAACGAGGAAATGAATAGCATCAACAATAATAGAGCTGAATAATTCATCAAAACAAGACATCAAAGCTCAATATTTTGCAATCCAAGATATCAAAATGAAGGCGCTGCTGGTAGGTGAACTAATTCAGCTACAGCTTCATCAGATCAAAATCCAATCATTTCTATGAATAATAAATTGTACAGCAAATGATAAAAAAAAGACAAAACCTTTGCGGAAAAGAAACAGAAAGAAGGAGAAAGACGCGATCAGCACTTCGGATTCCTTGTCTGGCTTCTGTCCCTGTCCGATTGGATCCAGCCTGGAAATATTCAGATTCTAAATTCTCTATCTCCTGTTTTTTTTAATCTTTTTTGGAGTTGTTAAATATATTTTGGTTTTGTTTGATCGAAAGAAGAAATTCTGGTTTTATTTTTCATTGTTTCTAGAAAAATTAAAATTCCATTTTGGGCTAACGGATATTGGGTTTGGTGGCAAGTGGACAAGTAGGACTGTGGAAGAGAGAAGATGAAGAAGGCCCAATGATCTTTATTTTCTACTCAAGCTGATGGGCTATAAGACGAAGGGGACGACATTGCCTAGTGTGATTTTACATAAATACATCAAAATTGTCCTAATTAATAGAAAGTTTCCTAACACAACTCTTATAATTTGTTAGGGCAATTGTTCATCCAGGAAAGTACTTAAGTTCGAGTCCTAACATCCGTGTGGTGCATGTGAATTTAGTATGTTATTACCCATCTCAATAGGAAATGTTCTGAAAAACAAAAAATACATAAAATAATAGCTTATTAAATGTAAATAATAATAAAAAAACCAAAAATAAATAAAAGTCCATGTCTGACAATTTTTTTTAACAAAAAATACATAGATAAAAGACCGAAAAATATATATAATTAAAAAAAACTGATTGACACCCGTGAGTGCAGCGGAGACGCCAAAAGTATTTGTTCTGGTTTTTCTTATTTTGTAAGTACATGCTATTCATTCAAACCGCCAGAGGAGTCCAATGTACATAAATGAGATAGGCTCCTAACTTCCCCAGCCTGCAAAGGCTGCCACTTGCAGGCCTATTCAAATTTAAAGTGTTTTGAATGTTATGGCCCAAAAGAAGAAAAAAGAAAAGAAAAGCCTCATCTCTTTTGCACATGAACATTGGCCCTCATAGCAAACTAAGCGTCTCAGATTTAGTGATAGCTTTGTGAAATTAGATAAGCTCAGCCCCCCTCCCTCCTCCCTCTGATTCTATAGTTTTAGATGTTTTTTCTTTCTTTCTGTTGTCTCAGAAGTTAGTTTTCAAATTTGAAACTGTTATTATGTTAATGTCAACACTCAACGTTGAATGAACAAGGAGGGAAATGAATGCGCAAAGAAAATGCAGCAACTGTGGAAAAGCAACCAGTACCACATAAAATAAAACCAAAAGTCAAAAATTTTAGCTTGTTGCTTTCGCCGTCACAAACGGCTATATACACAATGCATGCCACATGCTTTTTGGCTTTGCTCCTCCTGCTGTGCTCCACTATGCAATCGTCATACTTCATAAACACTTGTGGGTCTTTTTTGCCCTGAGGAGGCCCTCTCACCACCACCTTATTTTTTTTCCTTTTCTGTTGGAAGTTGGAAGTTGGAATTCAAAATATAAATATAACTTAAAGAGTTTTAATAAGAACATGAAAGCCTCGTCCTGACTCTTTTGAACAATTTATATTGTATTTAACTTTTCTGTAAGAAGATGGGCCAACTTTTCTCAAACACAAAGATGAATTTTGCAGCTAAATTAACTGTGGGGTTTTCACTTTTTACTAAAATTCAAGCGTAAAGTCCAAAAAGAAGGTTTTGAAGGTGAATAGAGTAATATTATTAGGGAGAGAGATTTAGTCATATTCTACGAGGTGCTTTTCGCAACAGCTGATGGACCATTCGTCCTACACGACCTACCCTCCCCACCCTAAAACGGCTACCTATTCAAATTTCGATGATGCTAAATTACCAAATCACCTTCCATCACCTAATTATTACACAATATTTGTTCATAGTGTTCATAAAAGGTAGTAACCATGAGCATTATGATTTCTAGCCATTAAAGAAATTCATAAACTTTACTGATTAATATAAATATAGCAATTATATTTGCGTTTTGGGCAGTCCATGGTGCTGGCCTATCTCATCAATCTGGGTCACCATTAATTGAACATTGCTATGTGATTATGTGGGTTGGTCACCTGGTACCCTACCCATACTAGTATGCAAATGAAGAAAAAAAAACCAGAGATTAAAAGATACCTGTTGGGCCATGTTAGGTCTGGTCTTTTTGTAGGCAAAAGTAACAGACTTCCTGCACTCACTGTTAAACCCCACTGGTTGATTTGATGGGCTGGAAGGACAAATGCAAAACCAGGCATTTAATTAAGATAATCAAATTTCAATCTTGACCTAACCCACCTGTTCCATTTAATTTCATGTTGCGTTATGAAGTTATGATCTTCATTTTTCCATTTCCTTTTTTATAAGAAAATTATGAAAACAATGCACATGATCTCAATACTAAAGCTATATAAAAAGACCATGCATAGGACAGAGGGTGAGTTTGTAATTTCAAATTCACAAATCCGTACGCTCTCATCTACATGGTCCTATATTTTAATAATATTTTTTGAACGTATTCTGTACTCAGAGAGTGAAAGAGAAAGAGAGAGAAGGATGGAAGAAAAGAGACGTTGGTATGGCATGTGACAATTGGCAGTTACCCTCATGAGTCATGAACTTCAAACTCAAATCAAATTTAGAAAGGAGAGGAGAATAAAGAGAAAGAGACCCCATATCCCCTCCTTGCAGCTTGAGTGGTTCCATTGCAACCTCTGTTACTGTTACTCTGTGGCTAGCAATCATGACCACTTCAGTTCCTGAATAAATCCTCCATAAAATTCAAAACCCATCTCGCAATTCTTTTGTAAGCTTCAATTGTATAGCTCAAAAGTCTAAATCTATGCTGGAACAACTTGGAGGATCAAGTTCATAACTAAAGCAGCTGAGCTAGCTGAACACTGGCTCAATTTATTTGCTTTCCTTGTGCAGCTCAAGCATTTTCAGAAGTTGAAAAGATGGAAGCTTTGGTCAAGAAAAGGGAGAATTTACAGAAAAAAAGAACTGGGTTCGTCAAGTCTTTGGCTGATAATGGGGCTGGAAGTGAGTCACTCACCGATTCAAGTGGTGAGTCCAGGGAGAGCAGTTCGAGTAGATCGAGCTCTGAGACTTCCACTGAGGAAGAGAAAAGAAAAGGGCCTTCTTCACCGCCTCTGTTGGGCTGGCCTATAAGAAATGCTGAACTGTGCAAAAATTCTGTTGCTGCTGATGTGGGTGAAGCAGAACAAAAAGCCCATGCTGATGATTCGAAGTTTAAGGATTTGGCTTCGAAAATTGCAGGTTAGATTTATTTTTCTGCAATTTGTGCTTCACTTGGTTGCCAAGAGTGGTAATTTTTTTTGAAACAGAAGGTCAACATTCAAAAATTTGAAACTTTACTATGTTTTCAACCCCACCTCTTTTCTTTAGCTTAATACAACTTCTTTAAAGACAAATTGCAAAAAGTTTAAAGCTTTTTCCTTTATATTACTAGCAACCAAATAAAAGGTTATTAGAATCCCATGTGACTTATCATGCTTATTTTTCCTTTTTGTAATCCTTCTGCGTTGTTGAAAATTCAAACAGAGATGGATATGATGAGAGAGAGATTTTCAAAATTGTTGCTTGGGGAAGACATGTCAGGGTCTGGTAAAGGGGTTTGCACAGCGATGGCTATTTCAAATGCCATTACCAATCTTTGTGGTATGTTCATCCTATCAGTCCCTGGAATCGGTTTATAGCACAGTAGGGTTCAATTACTTCATATTGCGATTTTTTTTTCTTCTGGTTTTTCAATTAATTCAAATTTTATACGACATGAAGCTTCCATTTTTGGGCAACTGTGGAGATTGGAACCCTTGCCTGCTGAAAAGAAATCAATGTGGAGAAGAGAGATGGAATGGCTAATTTGTGTTAGTGATCATATTGTCGAATTGATACCCTCTTGGCAAACATTTCCTGATGGAAAAAAGCTAGAGGTAATCCTTCCTACAGTATTAATTATGCTCAGAATTGTGATTATAAAACATCAAAGATATTTCCTGTTTGTTAGGAAGACAGCAAAATTAAAATTAATAATTTGAAGCTTTGATGTTTCACATCACTAAGCCCTAAGAATAATTCTGCCTTTGGTCTTCGTTCAAATTCAATTACCAAACTTTCTCGTATCCCCATTTCATTATGACTTGGTAAACAAATGTGCAAAATCTCGAATGGAAAACCGGTGGCAAAAACATAAACAACCAATCTAATGCTTCTTGTTTCTTACTGTTGGTGCATTCTGTAGGTCATGACTTGCAGGCCCAGATCAGATCTTTTTATGAATCTGCCAGCACTGCGTAAGCTAGACAATATGCTTCTTGTGAGTTCTAACCTTGATTGTTTCATAATATACTGTTTTCATTTTTGGAAGTCATTATGAGTTCAAGGAACCTTTTTTTTTTCTTTTCTAATGTAGGACATATTAGATAGTTTCACCAATACAGAGTTCTGGTATGTCGATCAAGGAGTTATAGCCCCAGAAGCAGATGGCTCAGCCTCTTTCCGCAAAACACTCCAACGGCAAGAGGAGAAGTGGTGGCTACCTGTACCTCGTGTGGCAGCCGATGGTCTCAGTGAAATTTCAAGAAAGCAGTTGCATCACACACGGGAATGCACAAATCAAATACTAAAAGCTGCTATGGCTATCAACAGCATTACTCTAGCAGAAATGGAAGTTCCAGAGTCGTACATGGAAACTCTCCCAAAGGTTTGCAAACCAACATTGGATTATACTTTTAAGTGAAGCAGAAGTTACACGGTTATAGTATATTTGAATTGCTAAAACTTTATTTCTTAATCTTGCTTTATCTTACAAGATTATGCTTAATAACTCTAGGGCTGACATACACATATGAATCTAGGAGTTAAAATGTGCTGCCTGTCACCACTCTAAGATAATAGTTGATAGACATTGATCATGATGTTTTGTGAACCCTTGAATTGATGAGCATGAAAGGATGATCTTACATTGAACTCTTCATGATTTGTAATCAGAATGGGAGGGCCTGTCTTGGGGACATAATTTACCGGTATATTACATCAGATAAATTCTCCCCGGAGTTTCTGCTTGATTGCCTTGACCTGTCCAGCGAACATGTTGCTCTAGAGATTGCAAACCGTGTTGAAGCCTCAATATTTGTCTGGCGTCGAAGAGCTCACTCAAAGCCTCCACCTAATCCAAACCGCTCCACTACAAAGTCATCATGGGAGATGGTCAAGGACCTAGTGATTGATGTGGATAAGAGAGAACTGCTGGCAGAAAGAGCTGAAAGCCTCCTGCTTTCCTTGAAGCAGCGGTTTCCTTGTCTTACCCAAACTATCTTGGACACGAGCAAGATTCAGTGCAACAAGGTTAAATTTTACTTCTTTCAAGAAACCCTTTCCTCCACTCTTGTTTTCCTTACATCATGTTTGTTATAACAATAGAACTTGTTTTCATACTTTTCAGGATGTTGGGAAATCCATTCTTGAAAGCTATTCAAGAGTTCTGGAGAGCCTGGCATTTAACATTGTGGCTCGCATCGATGATTTACTATATGTGGATGACTTGGCTAAACAGACTGATAGACTGTCATCAGTGGCTACAGTCAGTGTAATTACTCGCAAGAAGGTTCCAGTCCAGTATTCGGTGCCTCCCTCAAGCACTCCTCAGAAAAGAGCTTCTGCTAACTTTTCACCTGTACCTTTAATTAGCCCTGCAAGGGGAGAAAGGACTCCTTTTCTCCACACTAGTAACAACAGGGACAAGCCTCCCCGTCGCGGCTTGGGAGTGAGAAGAGTCTTGACAAATTATCTTGGCGTTGAAACAAAAGCAAGAATCTGCAGCAACACAATGGAAGGGTCTGTTTCGATACCAAACCTACAAGACACAGAAAATTTGGATCGTCAGAAGGACTCATCACACCAAAATGGGAGAAAATCACATCAAGTTGACCGCTGAGGTTTTGCCTCTTAACTTATGGTCGTCTCTTGAAGTTCTGGAGGAAAAAAAGTGGAAAGAAATGATACAGTTAGAGAGCTGTGCAAGTTTTAAGATAGAGAACCTCTTGGTGTAACTAAGTATTGACGCTTATGAGTTAGGGGAGTTTAATCTATTTGTTAAAGTTCCTGGTTTGCATGTTGTTTGCATTTAAAATATTGTAGCTAAAAGGAGAGAGAGAATAGAGAGATTAGATTGCTTGTTGAAACTTCTGCAGAAAGAATATAGACATGAGATTGCTTGTTCAAATTAATGACTTACTTATTTCTCTCTTTGTAATTTATATTGCTCATACTAAAGAATTTCAAAATTGACTTCAATGGAGAATGGAACCACAAGCACTCTAAGCAAACAGGGTGCCAAACAGAGTAGTTGTTTAAATAAAGTGAACAAGTTGTCAAAACAAAACAAAAACAGAAGAAACTCCTTCAAAGATTAAAACTTTTGAACTCAACCTATATATTGTCTTATATAAAGAAAATTCACAAGTTTATCATCAACAATAAAAATCACTTTTGGATGCAATTTTCGAATAAAAGATTTGAGCAGAGCGTTTCAAAGCCATACAGTTAGTGTTTATTTAAAACAAGATGGTAAAATAGATCAACAGGGTCGTTGTAGTATAGTGGTAAGTATTCCCGCCTGTCACGCGGGTGACCCGGGTTCGATCCCCGGCAACGGCGCCATTTTTTTTTTTTTCTCTCGCTAAACTCCGTTAAACTAGAAACTCATTAAAGTCTATATATTGTCTTATATAAAGAAAATTCACAAGTTTATCATCAACAATAAAAATCACTTTTGGATGCAATTTTCAAATAAAAGATTTGAGCAGAGCGTTTCAAAGCCATACAGTTAGCGTTTATTTAAAACAAGATGGTAAAATAGATCAACAGGGTCGTTGTAGTATAGTGGTAAGTATTCCCGCCTGTCACGCGGGTGACCCGGGTTCGATCCCCGGCAACGGCGCCATTTTTTTTTAACTCTCTCGCTAAACTCCGTTAAACTAGAAACTCATTAAAGTCGTGACACGTGTATGTAACGTGCACTGTTACAAATAAGACGTCCAACTTTCCGTCGTTTCACCAACGGAAGCTTCCTTTTCTTTTCAGTTTTTAGACGAAAGAGAAAAAAATAATAATAAAGAAAGAAAGAAGAAAGAAGAAAGAAAGCAGACTCGGCTGCTGCTTCTTGTCTGCACAACCACTTCTCAAGTTTGTAACTTTACCTGCTAGTCAGTGAGATACTTTTCGAAATCCCCAAAATGCCCTCCCGCAGCGGTACCAGCGTCCACATAGTGGCCCTAGACGGCATCGTGAACGTGAACTCCCTCTTCACCTTGGCCGTCTTCATCGGCCTGACCTGGGACCCTAACGACCCGAACAACACCCTGATTGAGGTAAACGACCCCACCACCTGCCGCGCCGGGCCCCGCATCGCGGAGGACCTCGTGGCCTTCCACGTGTACTCCTTCAGCTCCTTCCTCTTCTCCAGCCTCGTCGCCGTCGCCCTCAAGCAGGCCATCCGGATCACCCGAACCCCGTCCTACCACCCGGCCGAGCACCTCGCCCGGGTCAACAGCTCCGCCCTCCGGGTCGGGATGCTCGTCTCAGGTGCGGGTTCGGTTTGCGGTTGCGTGTTCCTGATGCTGGCTCTCATGAACGTGGTGCAGATCAAGCTCGGGACTTTGGGTTGCGGGAGCTTCCACACTTTGGCCGCCGTGATCCCGCTTGTCATCTTCGTCCCCGTTGCGCTCCTCATCTATGTTTGTATCGTTTTGTACGCTTTTACGCGCTAGAGCTTTTGTATAATTCCTTCTGATTTTGCAGAATTTTAATGCATGGTTTGTATGTCTTGAAATTGAAGTAGTTGTTCAATTGAAAGCATCATAAAGCTTGCTTCTTTGCTTTTTTTGTTTTTTTTTGTTTTGTTCTCCTAGTGGTAATGGTATAGTGGTGTGTGATAATTGAACCCAGGAAAAAAAACAATCTTTGGTGGATTTTTGTTTTGTTTTGTTCTCCTAGTGGTAATGGTATAGTGGTGTGTGATAATTGAACCCAGGAAAAAAAACAATCTTTGGTGGATTGGGAAATCAAATTAATGCTCCACAGATTTGGTGAGATGAAATTTATGGATGAGTGGTAGTACAAGTGGGTAGAGAGTGCTGATATTCTAATGAAATTGTTCATGTAGCAATTATTCTTTTTGTTCTGTATGGATTGCTGATGCTATATGCATCAGGCTATCATCATAGAGCATCATAGAGCAATATTAACTGCTTGGTGCTTTTTGTTTAGCTGGTCATTGTGATCGGGTGGTTTAATACTTAAATGCGATGTTTTGGGTGGGAGATTATAAGGGGTTTAGAGAAACAAGATTTGCTTAGTTACAAAAGGGAACTGAACCTAGACTCTACAGAAACATGATTGAGGTAGCATGCCGCTGTGGAGAAATGACAAAAGTATAGGAATGGTGGCAAGCACTTAAGCTAGGGGCTGTAATTTTTATTGGCTTAAAGTTGCCAGGTAGCCCTAAACCATTTCTGAAGGAGTAGGTGCTGCAATAAACAAATTGAATCCCTCCTTCCCAGTGCTACCTCCACTATGTCTTTTGGGTTTCATTTGTAGGTAACTAAGTACCTTTTGAGCTGCTTGGTGTAGTATATAAAGCAGGAAGTTGAGAAGTGATTCTGCACTGCATTGAAGAAATGGAATCTACAATGAAGTATATGTGCCTTCTAGCGTTTGTTGTGATTCTGGGCATCAATCAATTCAATGGGGCTTACGGGGCTGGCGAGTGTGGAAAATCTAGCCCCGACAGAGAGGCTTGGAAACTGGCTCCCTGTGCAGCAGCAGCACAAGATGAAAATGCTGCAGTTTCTGATAAGTGCTGCAGTCAGGTAAAAAGGATAGGCCAGAACCCAAGCTGCCTCTGTGCTGTGATGCTTTCTAATACTGCTAAGAGTGCAGGAATCAAACCAGAAATAGCTCTTACCATTCCGAAACGATGTAACATTGTGGATCGTCCTGTGGGTTTCAAGTGTGGAGGTTTGTTGACATATCCCTAACAATTTGTTTATCAAACCAATTGTTACTGAATGCTTCTTCCATATTCATTTGCAATTTATTAACACTAGCTATTCTGTTTTTCAGCATATACATTACCCTGAAGATCATGAAGTCACTTATGGTGCCAGCTACAAGGACTGTCAAGGAGTGCTGGAGATTGTATCTCTGTAACTAGTTCATCTAGCTTTTTACTATGACATCCTGATCTAGACACCTGAATAATAAATAAAATGTTTCTGTTTAAATGTCTTTGCAAAAAATTTCACTTCATGTTGCCATTGTTGCGGCCAACCGTAGCTGCTTATATTGGTAACCAAAAGGAAAGAAAAGATGGGAAAGCGGATAAAAGGAACATTGGACTATAAAAGAAATGCATCTATGACTAAAAATGAAGATGGCAGGGCCATTTTAATTTCAAAAGAAACGAAGATGGCAGGCTCAGTTCGTAGGCCATATATATCACCCCAAAAAACTAACGGAAATATAGCGTTTTTTTGGAATAAAAATAGCGTTTTTTTGGAATGTCAATATCAGCTCCCTATATAAATTGTTAATTCGAAAATGATAAAGTTAAATATCCATTCATTTGTCCCTATATAAATTGTTAATTCGAAAATGATAAAGTTAAATATCCATTCATTTGTCCGAAAATGATAAAGTTAAATATCCATTCATTTGTAAGCTGATAAAAAAGTTCCTTGGCCCCTCTTAAGGTTAAGGAGCTAGGTAACAAAGTGCGGTCATTGAACACTCACTAACCCCCTCTCATTGGCCTGAGTGAGAGGCCAGGCAATGCCCAAGGAGTGAGTAGGTGCTGCACTCCAAAGCCTGCAATAAACCAAGAGAATAATGTGATCTCCTTAGTCTAATTTCTACCTGCATCCATGCCGTGTCTTGTGGGATGAGTTTCAATTTGATCTTTGACCCGAAAACAGAAGCTCCATTTGATCAAGCTGCCACTTTGAGTATAAAAAACCCACCAACACCAAGTTGGGAAATTGGAAGCCATTGACTATCACATTGCAAAAAATGAAGGGTCCAATTAAGAGCTTCTGCTTTCTGGCCTTTCTTCTAACAACCATTGCTGCGTTTGGTGGAAGTGCTTATGGGGTAGGGGAATGTGGCAAAATCACAACTGAGAGGGCAGGCTGGAAGCTGGATCCATGCATAGCTGCATCAAAGAACAAGAACGTGAAGGTTTCGATCAAGTGCTGCGCGCAGTTGAGAAATATGATCAGAAATCCGAGATGTCTTTGTGCCATTGCTCTTTCTCAAAATGCCCAGCAAAGTGGAGCCACCCCAGAAATTGCTCTCACCATAGCCCAACGTTGCAACATTCCAAACCGTGTAAAGGGTTACAAGTGTGGAGATCAGTGATATAATTCACATTGCAATCTCAGCTTCTAATTAATTAGCATACTAATTTTGACTGCTTCTAATGTAATTCTGGTTTCTGGGTTGCAGCTTATACAATGGTTTGAAGACTGAAGAGCCTGAGCTGATTGTTCATCTATGTTACACACACACATATTATATGTAGTTCAGTTTGATATTGGGTTAAGTAACTTATTGATATGTACAAATTTGTTGGTGTTTAATTGATTATTTGCATTCTGTAAGGCCAAAGTCTTATTGATATGGTTCCAAAACAGAGTAATCCAAAAGCACTGTGAAACTTCTTAACATCAAGTATACTGTCAGTCAGCTGATTGGAAGGCAATAAATTAATATCTAAGTTCATATGTCATTAGTGTTGAAAGAATACACGAGTTCCTATTAAGAAAGTTCATATAATAAATGGTTTTACTCCTAATAACATGAGGCATTTTGTATATCGATTTTGCTAGTGGTGGGCCAAGGGTCCGTCCCTCTGAAATCTTAACACATGGTATCATAGCAAGTCAGTTGATCAAGCCCGATTAAACTCAAATCAAACAAAAAACCCCCCAAATTGAACCAAAATCAAACAAATCCCAAATGAAAAAATAAAAGAAAAAAAGGGTGATCGATGTGGAATTGGTTGCACTTATGGTCCACTAAAATGTGGTCCCAAGTGATGAGGAGTGTTGAAGAATACACGAGACAATGATCAGTTTTGAATCAGCCTCACTCTCAACTTTAGGGGTACTTTGGGTGTCGTAATCAATTATTAATATAGGTATATTTGAAAGTTAATCAGAGATATAATCAAATTATTAATTACCTTATAATTTTCAGCCTGCTTGTTACTTTTGCTATAAATTAAGCTCAAACCAAAGTACACTTGTGCAGTTAACACATTTCAAGTAGAGATGAAAACTGCAGTATTAAAATACGTGTGCATCCTAGCAATATTGTTTGTATCTGCAAGCAATGTTTGGGGGTTTGCCGATGAGGTTGACAAAACAACAAACACTTATGGTCCACTAAAATGTGGTCTCAAGTGATGAGGAGTGTTGAAGAATACACGAGTCCCACATTTGCTTAACAAGTGGTTAAGTTGGGGACAATGATCAGTTTTGAATCAGCCTCACTCTCAACTTTAGGAGAACTTTGGGTGTCGTAATCAATTATTAATATAGGTATATTTGAAAGTTAATCAGAGATATAATCAAATTATTAATTACCTTATAATTTTCAGCCTGCTTGTTACTTTTGCTATAAATTAAGCTCAAACCAAAGTACACTTGTGCAGTTAACACATTTCAAGTAGAGATGAAAACTGCAGTATTAAAATACGTGTGCATCCTAGCAATATTGTTTGTATCTGCAAGCAATGTTTGGGGGTTTGCCGATGAGGTTGACAAAACAACAAAATAGGGGGCAGATGGGGCTGGAAATTGTGGGAAGCTGAAGCCGGAGGTTCTGGGAGAGAAGCTAGCTCCTTGTGCAGAAGCAGCAAAAGATAAGGACGTGAAGGTTTCTCATAAGTGCTGTGATGTGGTGAAGAAGGTGCACACAAGCTGCCTCTGTGCCCTTCTGCTCTCTAAAGAATCTAAGAGCCTTGGGATCAAGCCTGAAGTTGCAGTCACCATCCCTAAACGTTGCAAAATTAAGGCTAAGCATTCTAAAGATTACAAGTGCGGAGGTTTGTGATCTCACAAACTATTAATTAACTTGTCTAGCTAATTTTTTTAATTAGTTGTATGTCTCGTGAATAAGGTAATGTTTGTAGTCAGTAATTATGTTGTCAGAGTGTGAATTTTCGGCTTAGCTCCGTGTGATTGTTAATTTTCTATTACACACATAATTGTTAATTGTTATTTTGATGCTCTTAAAACTTTTGATTTTGGTGTTTTGCAGGACATTCGGTGCCAGCATGGGAAGAGCATTAGTGATGGTGCCGCCAGCTATGAAACTTGAAGAAAGCTAATGCTCACTATTAAATAAAAGTAGTGTCGTTTTAATACTTATGCTCTAGGTAATATTATATTAATATAATATATATGCATACCCAAGTTCATTTTCGTTCATCATTTTAATCCAATGTGTACTTTTACTATCCTTCTCAACACTTGAAATGTGTCTCTAAACATAACCATAGTTCCAATAGCAACAGTATTCCAATACTGGGTCAACTGATTATTCCAATGCAGTCAACTACTAAGCACAACAGTCACTTTCAATTCCAATCAATCAAGTAACTCCAACAATAGTACTGATATATATAGGAGATTGTCGGGAGACTTTGAATTCAAAGGCAATTTCTGTAACACGTCGCATTTTAATTTAAATTATATATCTTAACTTCCAGCAAAATAAATATATAGAAAGTCACATGATATTCAAGAGAAAGGCAATTTCTTAGTCATGCTTACAATAGACGTAGCTAACTAGTAAACCTATACGTATCAAAGGGTGCCTATGATTATTGGCTGTTTAATTAACTTAAAGCAGAAGTTAATACTAAGCAAGTAAAAAAAACGTGTACTGGACGGGTGAAAAAAGGTCTTGATTTGCAAATTTGCCGTCATCTAAATCCAACATTCAAGTGGAGATAATAGTATACCTACTACCTAGCCTTAAAGTGCTTAAACTTGTATTCTAGTGGACATGTTTGAAAAAATTAATGTAAGATATAATTTATTGTTGTGGTGTGTAGTGGACGACTTAATGGTCTCCATTTCAGTCAATTGAACTTTCATTGAATAATTTGCTATATTCAAGTCATGCATTAGCAGAAGAATTGTAGAAAGAAAAAAAATGGGAGGAGGCTTAATATTGAGGTACGTGTGGATGGTGGGTTTGTTTGCAATTGTAGGCAATAATTGGGGAGGGGTGGAGGGGGCTGGGGAGTGCGGGCAGCTGGACCCGGAGGTGCTGATCTACAAGCTAGCATCTTGTGCAGCCTCCGGACAGGATAAGAACGTGGAGGTTCCTCCCAAGTGCTGTGGTCTGATGCAGAAGGTCCGCACAAGTTGCCTTTGTGCCATCATCCTTTCTAAAGAAGCCAAGAGCCTTGGGATCAACCCCGTAGTTGCCGTCACCATTCCTAAACGCTGCAAAATTGCTGGACGTCCTAAGGGTTACAAGTGCGGAGGTACGTATGTCATCTGCATTTTATTATGCCTATTAACTTAATTAACGGTTCAGATTCGTAGTTTAACAATTTACGACGGCGAATTTAGTTTGACTTTAAAATTCAGTCCCGGCTGCTTAGCTTGCGTAATTCTTGATTTTGCTGCTGTTAAAAACTTTTCATTTTTTGTGATTTGCAGCTTATGTGGTGCAAGCATGACTAAGAAGACCATTTGGTCATGGCGCGCGGCAGCTATGGTTCTCAAGTAACTTATAGACAACACTCTTAATGATATGCTAATCTAGCTTACAATGTTTAATTAGTATATAAGGCAAAAAGCCACTTTTGATTTATGTGGTTTATCACTTTTATTACTAAAGTTCTTGTGATTTCAATTTGATCAGTTTTACCCTTATTGTTTTCAATTTAAAGTAACTATTGTTACTTTGTTGAGGGGCATTTTGGTCCAAAAACAAAGACCGAAAAAAAAAAAAAAAAAAAAAGAGGGAAAAAGAGGTGAGAGAAGCCCTCAGCCACACTGTTTTACCCCATTTAGATGGCGTTTGGGAGTGCGGTGCTTAAAAAATAAGTTGCTTTAAAAATAATTTTTGCAATTGAAAGTGTTTGGTGAAAGAAATAAAGTCAGCTTATATTAAAATCTTTTAAAGCAGTTTTTCAAAGTAGGTTGGAACCAGCTTCTCAAAGTTGCTTTTAAAAAAAACACCCGGTTCCTTTTAATGATATTTTCATTTTTCCCACAACACCCTTACTACTTTTCCAAAATGACAGCCCATATCCCTCCCATTCCAAAATGGGTTTCGTCTCCCCTCAACACCCAGCACACTCTTCTTCTTCCTTCTTCTCACTGCAAGTTGGGCTAGTTATTGCTAGCGATAATAACAGCTGCAATTTCACCAGCAATCAATCTGAATTAAATTGAATTTCATGTGTTGATTCGTAAATTTCAATAAATTGAATAAAAATAGAGTAAAAAACCCTAAGATTTGTATTTGGGCAATGGGTATGGCTTGGTGGATCTGGGCAGTGGGTAAGGCTTGGTGGATTTGGCCGGCGTGGGGGTTCAAGTAGAGAGACGGTGGAGGCTTGGGTGGAGAGATCGAGAGAGAGAGAGAGGTGGTGGTTGGGTGAGGTTTGTTCTGTGGGACTGGCGTGAGGGAAGGGGTTGGGTGTGGTGATATGTTATCGAGGTCGGGTCAGGTGGGGTTGTTGGAGGGGCCTGGTGATTGTCTGCGACGGGGGAATTGGTTCCTAACAGGGAAGGAGAGGAGACTTTGATTACTCACAACAATTTTTCAAATATAGTTTACCAAACGCCTAACTGATTTTTTTCACAGCCGATTATTTTTGCAGCACAGCAGAAGCAGTTTTTTTTAAAAGCACAACAATGCCAAACTAGCCCTTAAAGTAACTGTTGATAATATACTTTTTTGTCAAAATTTTAAAGATTTTTTTATTGATCGAGATTTTAGGGGTTAAAGGGAATGATTAGGGGTGCAAGTTGGATTGGAACATCCGATTTCGACCGATTCCGTTCTAAAAAATTCCAATTTTGGCAAGTCCAAATCAATTTTGACATTCAAAAGTTCTGAAATTCTAAAATTCTAATAAGAATTGGATTGGAATTAGCATGTATCTAGAGATTCTAAAAAATTCTGAATTCCGAAATATGTTGGGATTTTAAGCTTAGATAAAATAGTTTTCCAAATAGACGTAGATAAGTTATTTCATAAAGGATAACAACATCTAAGTACTAGCATATAATAGTTTTCCAAGTTTACGGTATGAGTTTCAATTTTGAGTCAAATTTAATTCTTCAAATGGTTGGGCATCTCTCTCTTTGACCCTAGCATAGAAAAAAAAGAAGAAAAAAAAACTCCCCCACTCCTTTAGCGCCACATCTGGGGGGGGGAGGTGGTCTGCCCCTCCTCCCCTCCCCTCCTCTTCCTCCTTTTTCTTCCTTGAATCACACTTTTCTCCTTCTCCCCCTATTTTCCAATCTGGTGAGGTGAAGACCATGTGCATGATTTCCCCTATCACCACCATCTTTACCCTGCAGGTCTTGCTCCATACTGACCCAAAATCCATGGCTCATTCGGATTCCTTCACCTCCCCTTTGATCTGGCCTCGTCCTTGGTCTGTAGTTGCAAATTTCAAACGTGTTTTGGCCCGTATTTATTGGAAGGTGTGTAGAGCTCATGCTTGGGTGCTTGCACCACCTTCTTCCAAGTTCTTGGTTCTTTTTCTCATGGCTATGGAATGGGTTTTCTCATTCTTTTTTTGCTGGATGCTGTCTTTTGGATGTATTGGTTGGATTAATTCTGATTCTGTTGGTGAATCTCAGGTGGGTTTGTTTTAAGGGCTTGGTTTGTTGACTTACAAGTGTTTGGTTCTTCATAGTGGTGATTGGTGGTTTGTCCATCGACAGTCGTGGAGTTTCTTTTTGCTAGTGGCGGCTTGGAGTTTCTCTTTGGTTGTGGCGGCTAGGTTTCCTGTATTTTATTTTATGTATTTTATGTTTAATGTGGGCTTTGTGCCGAATATGGGTGTAATGCCTCTTTGTGGGCTATATGCCTTTATGTGGGCTAAATGCCTTTATGTTGGCTTTTGCCGTTTTAGTTTTTTTGCTCAGGAACATGATCTTCATGCTATACTATGATGGTTTTAGCTAGATTTGTTCATGTTTGTTTCCAGTTGGTTTTCTGGCCGGTGTTTTTGCCTAGCTTTGTTTGTACTATTCTCTGCCCTTTTGGGTGAGTGCAATGAATTGGAACTTTGACCCAAAAAAGAGGTTGAGCATGTTTAGAATGTTGAACTAGTTTCCAAAATTTTCTAAAAGAATTCCAAAATATGCAAGTTCCAAAATTTTCCAATATTCAGAGTTTTTTGGATTAGAATAGAAAATGAAATTCCAAATTTTTTTGTAACGAAATTGGAATAGCATTTCCATTCTGAAATTTTTTGGATCAAAATTGAAATTCTCTGATTCTGATCCGATCCATCCGAAAATCAGCTCATGCCCATTAAAAACTGGAGTCATTGATATGTTGTAAATCAAGAAATATTAATTTGAAATGAGTGAGTTAATAACATGCTTGAAAACCATTGGGTTGACTTATCTAAAGTTCGGTGGCAAACAATGTAAATATGTAGGAGTACTATGACCTTTTAAATCTTACGGTGCATTACAGTTTGAATTTGAGTTTTATACATAAATTTCAAAATTGATGGGTTTATGTATAGGAAAAAGAAGTTATAGGGTCTATATTAGGCCAGCCCTTAACAATATTGAAATTAATTGTACAATTCTCTTCAAAGCTTCAATATTGAGGATATATTCATTGAAATTACCTCATAGATTTGTTCGAAGTAATCGAGATCAGCACAACCAGTGGCTTATGAAACATTCAAGTGAGATATACCTGCCCTTCGGAGGACTCAGTCAGCCTTAGAGTGCTTACATCGAATATTTTAAAGTTTTATGGTAATGGACACGTTTGAAAAAATTAATCTAAAGATATAATTTATTGTTGTGGTGTGGAGGACGACTTAATGGTCGCCATTTCCAGTCAACTAAATTTGCTATATATAATATACACACAGCATTCATTTGTAGAAGAACTGTAAAAAGAAAAAATGGAAGGAGGTGTAATATTGAGGTACATTTGCATCGTGGGTTTGTTTGCAATTGTAGGCAATAATTGGGGGTTCGAAATTGAAGGGGTTGATGGGGCTGGGGAGTGTGGGCAGCTGGACCCGGAGGTGCTGGCCTACAAGCTAGCACCCTGTGCAGCCGCCGCACAGGATAAGAATGTGGAGGTTCCTCCCAATTGCTGCGCTCTGATCCAGAAGGTCCGCACAAGCTGCCTTTGTGCCATCATCCTTTCTAAAGAAGCTAAGAGCCTTGGGATCAACCCTGTAGTTGCCGTCACCATTCCTAAACGCTGCAAAATTGCTGGACGTCCTAGGGGTTACAAGTGCGGAGGTATGCATGTCATCTGTATCTTATTATGCGTATTAACTTAATTAACGGTTTAGATTCATAGTTTGACAATTTATGATGTCGAATTTAGTCTGACTTTAAAATTCAGTCTCGGCTGCTTAGCTTGCGTAATTCTTGATTTTGCTGCTGTTAAAAACTTTTCATTTTTGGTGATTTGCAGCTTATGTGGTGCAAGCATGATGAGGCGTAGAGAAGAAGACCATTTGGTCATGGCCCGCGGCAGCTGTGGTTGTCAAGTAACTTTTATAGACAACACTCTTAATGATGTGCCAATCTAGCTTACAATGTTTAATTAGTATAGACCTTGAAGAAACTTACTACTGGTTAATAAAATGTTGGTCCATGAAACGCCCATATATATGTTTTTTTGTTTTGTTTTGTTTTGTTGATATAAGCGATATTGAGGAAGGGGGGTTTTCTCACACACTGTAAAAGTGGCAAAACGTTTCTGGTTATGGCTTCATATCATAGATCGATTGCCAGAATTAGGATTGAAATATTAAAAACACACTGTCTAAATTAAGTAGATGAAAGTTCTCTCTCACAAAACAAAACAAAGTACATGAAACATTAATTAGCTCGTATATATTACAGAACTTGCCCAACTGGGATAAAAAGACCCAACAAGCTAAGTTTCTGGATCAGTCCTGGCTCTTCTGCACTATATCTACCATGCTATATATGTACTCTGTATAACACACGCCATCTTATTTTCCATACATAGTCTTTAAGGTAGATGTTCATACTGAGATCTCACCCTGCAACATAACAGACATTAAATTTTTCAGCGTCAGACGAAAAAGTTACAGCTAATATTGCATTGCATGCCAATCAGAAGCAAAACATAGGATGAACTTGTGTTAATTACCTCTGCTAAAAGGTGGTGAGTTCTCATAAAACGCACCGGAAAGAGTTAGTAATAAAGTGAACCTGCACAGATGAGAAGTACAGATATTAATTAATACTGTAGACTAGATTAGTATAATTAATAATCTTGATTAGTAAACATAATTCCATGAAAAAACATACCCTTCCACCAGTTTCCTCTTGAAGCACTGTTTGAATTATTCCCATTTGCATCATCATCACCCCCATCTTTCTTAGACTGAAGAATTACACAACAATTAATATCAGCTGAGTATTACTTCATAAAATAAAAAAAATAAAAAAAACAACAACTACTTGGTTTGCACTTACAAGGTGGTGCTGGTGGGATTCAGTGGTCGTCCCAGCTCTTGGACTATAATTTTCTTGGCCACCATAGTAGATTGAGGAGCTGAAGTTGCATGGCTCCATAGCTTCATTTTGATATATCATGGAATCTTTACTTGCGCCTTTCGTGCTTTCGCCTTTGCTACTGTAAAACCCTTGGCTCTTATTATCCAAAGCGCTTGGATTTCCGTACTTGCCACTGCTCCCAAGTCCCTAATCAAAATTTAAACCCACAGGTCATTTAGACTTGTACCCAAAAAAAAAAAACACAAAAAAACAGGGCAATAAACTCACTTACCGCTGATGGTGGTGGTGGGAAAATAGAGCCAAACAAGGAGGATGAAGAAGATGAGGAAGAGTCCTTGGGGCCAAAGAGATGATCCAGAGTCCTGGACGAAGAAGAAGAGGCATGGCTTGAACCACCACCACCCACTTGGTTCTTGTTCTCCATAGTAATATAATTAGTTAAGTATATAGAACTCTTGTATATACTAGCTAAGTAGTTATAGTGTTTCACAAAAGCTGCTTTCTTTGTCAGCCAAAACGAACAAAATTAACTACTGCTGCTGCTTCTGATAGCTGATAGTTTATCTCTTAACGGTCAAAGACCCAGAAGCAGAAAACTGGATAAGATTTGCAGAATATTGATGAGAAGAAATACAGAAACAAACAAGTTAAAGAGATAAAACTGGAGAAGGTAAGGGGGGCCAGAGAGAACACGTGAAGATTTGCAGATGTGGAGATAGTGAAGGCGTGACAAAGGTATTTATAAGCCCAAAAATATATGGAGATGGATTTAGCTGGTTGGGATACATGGATGCTAACCTCATCCCCTGTCTCCGGTCCCCATGTGCCCTTCAACTCTCCCCTGTTTTTTGACACATGGGTTGCCTCAGTTTGATCCAAGTGGACATCTTGCCAACTCTAAGCCCCTACTGCCACGTGTCACAGCGGGACCCTATATAAATCAATCTTTGACCAATACATACATGTTCTATTATATGCTTTTGCTTGAGTTGGTCGACATTCAGATTTTTCTTCTGCGAGAGAGATGAGAGGTGAGGAGATGAGGAGATGAGGAGAGAGAGAGAGAGAGAGCTGTTAATGTCTTAAAACGGATAAGGTGTTGATGTCTCAAATTGGGATTTTGATGCGGATATGCACGTTTACATCAAATAGTTGACTCAAGCCACACTAGATCTAGATGCCATGCAATTCATATCAAACATATTTGCATGTGTGCATGTCTTCCTTGCAATCTTCAAGAATCGGTACCAATATATGCCATCAAATATTATTATCTTCGAATGTAACTTTTGAATGATTTTTTTTAAAATCGAGCACAATTTGACCTATAGTAACTTATAAGAAGGATTTAGTCATTAGGCGATATAAAAAATGGATATTCATGATCATTTCAAATTATGTTCAATTTGTAAGTATTCTTCCGTACCGTTAAACCACAGTCTCATACATTTAGCTATATATTTTAAATAAAAACATATCTTATTATTTGAAGTTATGGAATGAAAAGAAAATGTATTTTTGTGTGTGCCGCCAAGGATGATATCACATTTCATTTTCAAAAATATACTTATAGGATCAAAAGAAAGAGTAGGTCGTGATCAACATGGCTACTAGCAAAGATGCCACAAGGTCAAATGGTGTAGTGTTATTATGAAAATTCAACCCAATGAAATGATACCTCAAGGTTCTCATCCGCGTGCCTTAGAACATATTCTAATTCAATTTAATTAAAGTAAATCCGTATCTGCTCCGCCAAAGAGAACTTCAATTAGATGATTAATTGATAACCAATGCAGGGCTGACAAGTAATGTTTGGGCGGCTTATAAGTACTGTTTGGATACTATATTTAAATCACATTATCTTGAAGATACGGTAGTTAAAGGATTTTCATTCTTTCATCTCATAATAGCTTTATGTTCCTTTTGGATAGCTTAGGATAAGCACTGCATTTCAGACCATAAAAAAAGGGATAAGCACTGCATCTTCCCATTACATCCATATCACCACCACTTTCCTGGAAACGAAAAAAGGCATGACATTTTTTTTTGCAGAGCAAAACTTTTCCATTTCTGCATGCAGTATGCAGATGAAATGGGATAACTCCATATCAAGTTTTCGATGTAGGACTTTATTCTTCAACATATCTATTAACCACATCCTTTTTCCTTCATTTTCTAGGGAAAGTTGATCTGACTGAACAAGGAAATAGAAAATTTCTTTTTCCCACTTCTTGGATCGATCTTAGTTTGGTCTGGTGGGTTTTGACCCAGCTTGGATCTCAGATTGTTGCAACCCAACCCAACTCAACCAAATTATTTTTTAATTAGAAAGGTGAGGCTTGGGGCCCAATTCAGATAAAAAAGAGAAAAGAAAAAAGTGGTTCGACCCAGCAAAACTTGCTACTTGACCATGCATGTGGAACAAGTTGAGATTCCCGTAGCCAATTTGCAAAAAGTTGTATGTACGAGTCATTTTTGTTCATTCTTTCTGGTTGTAGCCATGGAGGAATGAATGTTGTTAAAAAAAGCATATCAATTTGCCGTGTCATTTTCAAGCCCAACTTTCCATGGCGGGTTGCTTGCTTTAGAAGAAAGAAAAAGCTTAAGACAAGACCTGTAAATATATATTGTTCATCTTAATTATATCATCACCTCATCCAAATGCCATCCATTTCGAAAGGTCAAAGCCTCAAAGGTGCACGTGGGCCTAAGACAGATAATATGTTTTTAGGTTATTATTGGTGTCGGTCGCTTCCTGTTCACAATTGTATGGTCCTATACAAAATGTAACAAAAAAGAAAAAGAAAAACCATACGCCGAATTATGACAAGCGTGCATGTGATATGGATGATGAAGATTAAAAGTAGTAGTTATATGCTCAAACAAGTGAGAAGTGAGAAAAAGGCTACGAATATTCCACATTCCAATTTCCCACCACTCACCACTCGATGGCTATGTTATGTGGATGGATTATTGTCCTTGGCACAACTTGCACGGTAGTTCGTGCATTGTACGTATTTGATGTGCCAACATCATGTGTATGTGTTTATTTCCAAATGTACCTCTCTAGTAATGGAGAAAAATTATATATCAAAATTTTATGAATTTTAAATGAAAAAAATTAAAAAAATTTGCAATGACCATTTGTGATAGATGTGTAAACCTCAGGGATGTTTTGTGATATACATATATGCCACATCAGCAAACTAACGGAGTTTTTGACGGAACCTAACGGCAGGGACCATTTGTGATTACACATACTAACCTTGAGGACCACTAATGACACAAAAAAACATTAAGGATGCAATCTGATAGTTTCCTAAACCTTAGGGACCTTTTGTGATAATAAGCCTTGTTTGAAAAATTATATATCACAGGGATAATACTGTTTTGTTATTCCAAATTTTAGCATGTGTGATAAGGATTCTACATGATGAAGCATAATTAGATGATGATAGCAAAACAATGCTATCCCAGTGACATATAAGTCTTTCTCCTTGTAATGACGACAATGACTGAAAATTAGCCATCAATCAATCATTCTATTGGGAAAAGGAGGAGGAGGAGGAAGGGGGGTGTCACTCAAAAGAGAGGGGCCAAACATCGTCTTAGGTTTAATTCTCATTCTCGCTTCATTAGAGCATTTTCGGCGGGAGGGGCTAGCTCGGGCAAGAGGCCCCCTAGGCCCCCAATCCCGTTTTCAGCAGCCAAGGCTTACTAGGGCAAGCGTTGGCTCCATTAGCTTGGGCAAGATGATTTAATACTAACATCATTGTGACGTCAACAACCAATTTAAATAACAAAAAAAATTGAAAAAAAACAAGGATAAAAATACCAAAATTTTCAATTTTTTAAAATTTTAATTTATAAAAATAAATACTTAGTCATATTCTTTACTTCCCACACCAAAACTCTATACAAAGGCGATGGGTGGAAAACCAACAAAAAAATTGCCATGGTAGGCACTATTCATATAAATAGTAACAACCATTGCTTCCTCTTACCTTTTGTCATGACAAATATGTGGTAATGCTCTTAATAATCTATTGGTTCAGGAGAAAAAATTTGGACGGACAACTTTGTGTCACATGGCAAGTACCCATTAAAAGTTTTCTGGTTGGCCTTTTTTCGTTCTTAATTAAAGTATGAACAAGGAGGGATGTGATTTG